CCTAAGATGTTCTCTAAGCTTTTCAAAATACTTGAAGTCTGTTGAATAACTTCATACGTAACATTAAAGCAGGTAAATACAGTTTAATGGCTATATTAATAGATTAGAGTTCACAATATGTAAATGTTAATGTGTAAATGTAGTCTTGGGCTGGAAATGGAACAGATTCCATTTCAAGATCAGTGTCAAAATCATGTTATTACCGAACACTAAACCACCCAGACTCTGAAACAATGCTATTTACATATCTGCAATGAGGTTTGAGGACTACAGGTAAATATGAAAGCTTAACACACACTAATAGCTGGAAATTACAAACTCCTTTAGGTTAAGTCTCACAAAAAAAGCTCTGTGTCAATTAATTTAGAAGGTGGAATTTAAAGATTGCATTTTTTTCCTATATGAAACAAAAAGTAAAATAAGATTTCCAAAGATGTTATATATGAATTTTCTTCTTGTATGTTACAAAAATAAGTATAGATGAAAGTGCCTGGGAGTATTTGAAAACTAAAATCACAGAAATTACTTTAGACTTTATAGTTTGAGTAGCTATCTGGTCATTAGTACAAGTATACTCAAAGAACATAGATTCAAAAGAATTAAATCCAGACCTCTGCAATCACAGGCACAACTTCATATAATTTCTTTAAATATCTTTTTCAAAGTAAGTATGTCATTTTGCTAAACGATACAAAAAAGATTGCATTTGCTGTTTAAATTTCTTTGGAAAAAAAAGATCGTGTATGTAGCATAATGGATTTTAAAGCTCTCATTTCAGTCCTTCTTTCTGCTCATTGTTCTTCAAATTTCTTACTTCTTTGCTTTTCTCTTTGTCTTGCACAGACCACCAGACTACACCCACAATCACATTTGGGAAACTTTCCTGACATGTGGTTTCTGCAGTTTCCCTCTGCTTTTTATCACTGGTAGAAGATTCTGTCCTTGTGTTTAGCTGGTTGTACGGATCATTATTGAAACTCTTTCCTTCTACTTACTGCTGGATTGTTTATGTGTTATTCCATCAGTTTAATTGAACCATACTCCTTTACAAAATGTGGAAAGTGTAGCTTGTCAGAATAGAAATTTAACAAGCAGGGTTATAATCACCCGGAAAGAAAATACATACAGGTAGGGAAATATAAAATGTCCATACTATTTCATGAAGATGGGGTGCAGATTATCTTGTTTCTTCATGAAACATCTTTCAAGAGCATGAATGATAATACACAGATATCTGAACCATGCAGAAAAGTAGAAACATTCTCATGTATGGCAGGGCCCCTTTCAAAGCTTAGATACTTTACTGTAGAGTTTACCTGTTGAATGGAAGCCTTTCTCATTTGTTGAGCCAATGTTTAGAAACAAGATAATGCACACTTCTGTAGTAAGTCTCAAGAAATTGAAGTAAATGTAAAATCTCTCATTTTTTTCTCCTCCTGTGTCTGGTCATTTAGCTGTCCAGCCCTCTAGTACGTATAGGTAAGAAATTTCTGTGTGGAAGTCTTTCTCTGTAGCCCACTATCTACTGCCTTTGGTCAAATTTTAAAATTTCCAGACAGACATGAAAACTGATGCTAAGTATTGTTTTTATTCAGGTGATCATCTGTAGATACATTTACAGTGTGGTATGCATACACTAACAGTGGTAGCGAAATGTTTATGCTAGCATATCCGTGGGAAGCACTCTGTAAGCCCACCTCCCTTTACAAGGTAATAGAAGTGGCAGAGCACTGCCCTTCCTCCTCTGTTACTCTCAGTTGCTTTTCTGAGTCACAAACCTGTATTGTCCTTCTTCTGCATAAACATTTAGGTCCTCTTTTAGTTTCTGTAAAGACTTCTGTTATTTGTTCATTCTGTTTTTTTCAGGACTTCAACACCAAGTTTGCTCTTCGAGACTACCCTTTTTCCACATACTGTGGCTTCTGGTTTTCACCCTCATGCTGTATGGCTTTAACCTCTCCCTTGCACTGCCTGTGGTGGACTATGTTTCATTCCTGATGGGCCTACCCACTGCTGTTACTTCCTGTGGGAAGGAAACATCACAGCTAAGAGTTCTATTTAGCATTTAGACCCAGAACGAAAAAAGATGAACTGCAGCATGTTCTGGATTTTTATTTACCAAGTCCAGGAGCACTTTGATGGATTTGCTCAGCGCAGCCAACACAATACAACTGGACCCTACTCTGTTCATAAATAAGCCCCCCAAAAGAAATAAATATAATCAAAACCATTCTTGGTCTCAGGGTCACTCCCTAGCACTTGGAAAGTTCATACTATCCATGTTTACACTTTCATGAAGTCCTAAGACCTTTCAATCCAAAAGGATTTCAGGAGAGTGTCTGGTAGTTTTTATTCAAAAGTGCCCTATTGACCTGTTCGAAGGAAGCAAATGAAAGAAATTCCAGTTGCAGACCTTTCTTTCCATCACTGCACGTTTACCATCCCTGCAGTGCACAGGCTAAAATTCCTTTGATAGAAAGTTACTGCTGACCATTTGGCCAGTCACTTTTACTGTCTTTGCAGCATAATAACGGTTTGATACCAGGCCATCCAATACCAGCTGCAGAGGTGCCGCCACGATGTCACCAAGAATCTCCTCTGACCTATTTTGAGTTCCTGTTTTCAGTACTCTTCTTGAAGGGTGCGATTTGGGCACTAACGGCATTCTTTTAGTAAGTAGTTCCATAAAAATTAGAGGACCATCAAAACCCACCTGAAGTTCTTGCCCACAATGGTCTCCGACGTATCTATTTTGTAATCAGTAGTTCACGTGCTTTTTGTAAGTCTTATGTTTCTACGGAAATCTATAAGTTAGCCATAATTAAGTCATTTGCTAGTTTCTGTATTCATTGGACAAAGAACTTTAAGAGAACCACTCGTCTTTCCAGATCCACATCTGAAAGGTTGAAAATCTAACACAAAATGTTGGGCTGGATTATAGACTGTATAAAGAAGTCCTGATAAAACACAAATATCTATGCTTAGTATAGAAGTCCACTTAACTAAAGTAACTGATGGGCCCATTCCAGTCGAAATGATGATTTCTCCAGATTACATTGCAATTCTTGATATCCTCAGGTTAGGCACCTTAAGTTCCATCCACCCCTTTGATAATTATTATGTTTACAATGAAGTTTCTGAAAATGCTGTTGCATTTTGCAATGTTGCTCTGTATACCCAGGCATCCTGAGAACCCCTTCTAGATGGTTGTTGGCAAAATGTTGCTTGGAGTTACCCACAGATTGAACATGTAAAAATTCATTCAAAGAAGTAGATGTTTTTCTGCTCTGGCATTGTTTCTGTCCACAAGGAAACTGAAAAGAGATTGTCTAAAATAATGTGACCTTACATGGTGGAGCATCTTACCAAAAAAGGAGATATATTTCTTTTCAAGTATCTCAGTTTAACAGAGTGCAATGAATCTTAGTGTACAGCGTTGGTTAGTGACTATGTAACTTAATCAGTTAAGAATTTGTGCTTAAACAATATTTAGATTTATACCCTGTGTGCTTTTAAGGGTACATGAGGTACTCTATGCTGCATGGCACTTAATCAGAAACTGCCAGTTCCCCTTTGCTTGAGGCAACCAAGTGAATTCCATACCTGTTAGTTCAGTCTCACAGTGCCAAAACTGCTGATTTTTTCTGTTTTACACATTGACATGTAAACATATGCTTGATAATTAGAGTTGACTAATAAACACAAGAGTGTGAGAACAACCAATGCTGTGTCAGACCAAAGATTTGCTGGCATAGCATTCTGCTTCACATACCAGCCTACAAGGGATGCCTAAGAAAGGTAGAAGAACAGGGCAAACTTGTAGCTGTGGTTCCCCTCCCCAGAATGCTCTCCCACCTGCAAGAAATCTGTGGCTCAGGACCTTTCTAAATCAGAGGGAATACTTTTATACTGAATAACCCTTAATGGATTTTTTTATTCCTGTGAACTTGTCTAGTTAATTTCTAACATATAAACTTCTAATAACCACTGCAATCCTGCTCCAAGGACTTCCAATATCTTAACTACGCTTTGTTTAAAAATCACTTCACTTTATTCTGAACCTTCCATCTGCTAATTTCATCTAATGTTCCCAGGTCTGCTCCTAGAAGAGAGATCCCTGTGTGCCCTTTCCATTGTACTCAAGATTCTATACACCTATCACACCACTCCTCGGTTTTCTCTTTTATAGCGTTGAGTGTCCTAGTTGGTTTGTCATCCCTCCTACAGAGCAGTTCCCTACCCTTGATTATTCTTCTTGTCTTTCTCCAAACCTTTCTAATTTTACTATAACTTTTTAAAAATGGAAAAGATGGACCAGATCTGCATATTGCGTTCAAGATTAAGGCACACTGTTTAGTTTTCCATTTCTTTTCTAAGTGCATACTTAGACATTTTTCCAGTCATGTTTGTGTCCTTTAGTCATATTTTACATTGATTGTTCATACTCAGACATGCACTATGGATGTCCCACAGTTGCTGTCATGACTTGCATTAACCTCCCCTCTTAAATACTCCTGAATACTCATTTGCATTGATACAAGAAAATAATGTTACCACTCATTTGTCTTAGCTGTCAGACTTAATGTAGGAAATAGAAGACACTATGAGAACCTAAGCAGGGGCGTCTGTTGCTGTTTTAGATGCCTTAAGGTTTGTGAGGCACCCACCTGGCAAATACGATACAGCAGATAAGGGAGACTTCCACCCTTCTGGAGTGACAGCCGGAGGCCATAAAGAATACCTTGTGGTATCTAAAAAGACACTCGATACCTTTATTTAGACATTGAATTTCTGCCTAGACAGTGGTATGTAAAACAGTCTAACTCTCATATGTCAATCAAGAGAGCTCTGAGTTCCAAATTAGCCGTATTTCTTGGTGACGGCAACACATCAATACTGCAGTTTTGAATAATTATGTTATGCCAATCTCTTTTTTTTAATATTTCCGTATAAATACTGATTAAATATTTAAAAATAATGTTTCTTTGGTTCTTATTTAGGATTCCGGGGAAATGGTTCGATCCTTTGTTGGTGGCTTGGAACTGGTAGTCAATTTGCTAAAATCGAAGAATAAAGAAGTTTTAGCAAGTGTATGTGCAGCCATTACAAATATAGCTAAAGATGAAGAAAATTTAGCTGTTATAACAGATCATGGAGTCGTCCCTCTGTTATCCAAACTAGCAAACACAGTAAGTAACATCTAAACATACCATACCAAATATCTGAATTTCTTATGTCAGAGTGCATTATACCCAACTAAGAGGTTGTGACAAGAGCAGTAGATTTTCCAGCAGCTACAAGGAAGAACTGTAGAATCCTTCCTCTGTGAGATGGATATTGGACATGAAAACACTCTGGCTGGTACTAAAGTTGCTGTGGAAGATGAGCTTCATTTTAATAGTCACTGTCACTGAATATTGCTTTTGAGAGATGCAGCTGCCATATGAAAAAAGCACAAAGGGTCAGGAGAGCAATAAACCTGAACCATGCAGAGGATGCCAGTAATGGGGCTATATGTCACATTTTAATTCTAATCTGATCGAATTTCCACTCAGTCTAAAAGCACCTTCAAAATAATACAAAAATTCACAGCACTTCCTACAAAGAGAATAATAAGGGACAATTAAGTCCATGCCAGGTCTTTCCAGTTTTTAATTGAACTGTAGTTAAGCTGGGATACCTTGAAGATGTTTGAAAATAGAATTCTGATTTCCTATGAAATTTTTATTGTATTATGTTGTCTTTAATTTATTATGTTTTTGCCTTCAGAGCAATGATAAACTAAGACGTCACTTAGCAGAGGCTGTTTCCCACTGTTGCCTGTGGGGGAGCAATAGAGTTGCCTTTGGAGAGACCAAGGCTGTAGCTCCTTTAGTACGTTACTTGAAGTCAAATGATCCATCAGTTCATAGAGCTACAGCTCAAGCATTATATCAACTTTCAGAGGATCCTAACAACTGTATCACGATGCATGAAAATGGAGCAGTGAAGGTGAGGTGGATGGTTTTTGATATTTGGAGTTTAAATTACTGAAGGGGTTTGGCATGATCGAAAAAAGGGATCTTTCATTTGAAATAGTTCTTGAATACTGCTGTGTACCAAAGATCTTCTGAACTTTATGCTAAAAATGTTTGGTTAAGTATTGAATTAAGGAACTGTATTTCAGTGCTAAAGATATTGGATGGCTGTTAGGTAGGTGGTTGTTGGGAATGGAGATAGGATGTGGACACTCACCTCTAGAGTACTTGACTTGACTCTGGCTTAGGCTGGTAGTGATGTTACATCAGCATTTCATTATTCTCAAGTGACTTTTGCAAAAGAAGCTGGATTATCTTAATGGATGGTTACCTAGTATGGCAGAAAGTCATCTAGGAACTAAGTGTAGCTGCATTTGGGGAGAAATTAAGACAGAATAATACAAAGGCTTAGTTTACCTGGAACTGTTTCAGTGAATTCTGCATTTACTTATAAAAATTCTTATTTTAGGAATGAAGTATAAACACATTCTGCAAAGACCTTATTCTAGAAAGAATTTTTCTCTCAAAAAGATTTTTCTAGCAAAGTTTTATCTCACTAGTTGAAGCCAGAAGAGTTATTCCTTTGGTACAGGAGACATGAGGAGTATGGCCTTAGAGGTGGAGATAGTAGGAATTACCAATTTTCATAAATATCCTGAAAGATTCACTCCTTGCAGACTTTTCATTTTACTTCATGTACAGGTAAACGTGTTGAAAGTAGGAGTTGAGTTATCACACAGTGTTATTATTAATGTTGATTTTATGCTTGCACTAATGATCGTGTACTTTATTGAGAGCAGTTTCAACTCTGGCATGATCTAATGGTCCTGCGTTATCATACGTTTGTCTGTGGTTGGCTGTATCTGTAGTCGGGTTAAAAAGATCCACTGGCCAAAAATGTTTAACAACTCAGTTTAAATGCCAGTACTTGAACTGACTCAAATCGAAGCTGCCCTTTTAGTGCTGGAAAATAGCATCTTGCCGTCACAGTTGCATTATACTGGCTATACAGCACAGAGGAGTGTATCCTGTACTACAGCTCAATTTGAAACTAGCGTCTGATGACTTTTTAAAGTTGCTTATCTTTCCATTCAGCTGACACAATGCATTTTCTGCCCTCTTGTTATCTGTTACTTTCATTCATTTTATTATGCAGGTTTTAGGTTTTGTAAGTTGTAGCACACTGGACATACTGTATACAGCTGACTGATGATAAACCTTTATAATAATTCTATCTCGGTCTAGGTTCATCTTTATTTTTCAGTCCTAGTTAAAATATTTAGATTAATTAAAAACATTTATTTGCACTTGCAGATGAATAAGGATGTACAAAAAATATCACAGGTGTTTAATTTTTTTATTGTTCACAATATTCTGGAATGACTAATATGTTAAGGGAGAGGAAAGAGAACTGATAAAAAGAAGAGTGAAACTACAAAGTAAAAGAACTTGGGTTATGTTTGTTGCATCTAACTTTTTTGTCTAGGGTGCACTACTCGTATATAAGAAACTTGTATTTTTGTAATGCAGTGGACGAGGGTTTGTATGTGGGTCCATCACAGAACCAAAGCTGGTGGGTGGCCTGAACATATGAGAGGATATACGACCAATTCTCATCATGTGTGCCAGCAGACACATGTATTTGTATCATATAAGCAGATGTACATTAGTAATATGACAGAAAGCAGCTGTATTTGGTCCATGTTGAGACTAACAGCTGGGGTAGCGGTTCTGCTGAAAAGGACCTGGAGAGTAGGTTCAGCTGGTGGAACGTGAGCCAGTAGGCTGCCCTGGGAGTGATGATAAGCAACAGGATCCTGGGTTGTGTTAGCGGGGGTGTAGCCAGCAGGTCAGGTGTGGTGACTTACCACTTACTAAATCACACTAGGAGTACTATGTTCAGTTTGGGCTCCAAGTCCAGCGGAGGGCCGCGAAGATGGTTGAGGACTGAAGCACGTGACTTGTGAGGGAACTGAGCTTGTCTAGCTTTGAGAAAGGAGGCCTTTGGTCAGCGGTGTCTAATAGCAGCCTACCAGTATCTAAAAGAAATTTATTGAGGGGACAAAGGCAGGCTCTTGACTGAAGTGTATGGTAGGAGGACAAGAGACAGTGGTCATAAATTGAATCTGATGTGTTCCATCTAGATATAAGGAAAATAATTCCACCATAAGGGTAACGAAACACTGGAACAGTTCCCTGGAGAGGCTGTGGAATCTCCGTCCAAGGGAATTTAGACTTGACTTGACAAAGCCATCAGCAACCTGGTCTGAATTCAGTGTTGACCCTGCATTGACTAGGAGGTTGGGCTAAATGACCTTTTGAGATACCTCCTGACCCAAATGATTCTGTGATTCAGATCATCTGACTTCTATTGAAAAAATAGGAAATATGGAAAATAATTACTCATCTTTGCAAACCACTTCTTCACTACCTTTTGATAATTAAGCAGTGTTCTCGAACTTCTCAATGGATTTTATTGAGCCATACCTACGGCATATTCAATTTGGGTAGGCAGCCATAGTTGTGATAATGAGCTTTCCCATTCAGTATGCAGAAACAGTCACTCTGTCTAATGTGGCAGAAAGCTACTTAGTCAGATGGGTATCGCAAAAGAGATGCTGTCAGAGGAACAGATTCTGTCACTCTATTGTTCAAATACTTAGGGAGCTGTGTAAGATAAAGTATCTGAATTCCACTGTGTGTCATTCAGAAATAAAATATTCATTCCATGAACAGAACGTTCCTTTGAATTTTCAGTCAGGGCTACAAATGTACGTGACAAAGAGATGCAGTGCTATCCCACATATCTTGAAGTATTTCAAAATTCCATGAGGTTTGACTAATCTTCCTCTACAGTTCAAGATCTGTTTTTTGGGGGAAAGCAGTCTGACTGCAAAGAAAACTGGTTCCGTAATGAATCTTTAAAATGCAGCCAAACCTGATCAAGAATTAAGAGGTAAGAGTGTTAAGATAAAAACACCTGTGACTGCACATTACCATGAAGGACCTGGAATAATTCTTCGTACCTGCTAAGTATCACAATATGCACAAGTCTTGGGAAGGATTTCTGGAAGTGATTCAGAATAGCAGTGAAATCACCTCTAACCTTAAAAGACTGCACTGTTGATTCATACCAAAAACTGTTCAGTTTGGTAGACTGGAATCTCTTCGTAGTCAGGAGGTGACTGTGAACCAAATACATAGCCGGGAAAATAAACATTTTGATTCCTTACTGTTCATTTTTCTTACTGGCAGTAAAAAATGAAATGTCCTTGGAAGACACTAATTTATCTGAAGGAGTAGTTCTTACTAGTCCCCCAAAAAGCAAAAATAATGGAAGTTTGGTGGAGTGTGTTTCCAGATAAACTAAATCAAACTAGTCAAACTGGTTTGATTGCAGTTATCCTGCTGTGATGTTTCCAGCCTGCTTATATGTTATGTTATACATAGAAAGGCAAAGCAGCAAAGCAAAGTGAAGCAACAAATAGGCCTTTTTGGAAGATGTATCAGACCATTGAGACATAGTGGTTCCTGTCCAGTGAGAATGCCCATATAATCAGTGAAGCATGGTGGGCAGTCTGAGAACATATGTTCTGTTGGGCCTGTGATACTTTCTCCAGATGTACTAGTCCAAGTGCTTTTATTCTGTGTTGCCAGAGCTGAGCAGATCATGAAGCAAAGCAACACGCGCACCATGACAACTCAGGGGGTGCAGCTGGCCAATCCACCACCACGTATGAGCTTGACTTCTATGCTGGTACTGTTGGAGCTGCCATCAAGAATCAATTCCCTGAGTTTCAGAAAGGCTAAAGAGGCATTCCCAGATGGCAGGGAGAGAGGGTGAAGGAGATTTAGTTGCTCAAATGCAAGAGTCAGTACAGTGCTGAATTTTGCCTGGTCTGTTCCGTTGGTCTGCCCAACACAGGTGAGACAGTAGTTGCAGCGCTGTGTCTGTGCTATTGGGTATCTTTGCACCATGCTTCTCAGTGACCACAGAATGTCTGGGTGCTTTTATTCTTCTAGCCTCTCCAGTGAACAGCTGACTGAAAGCATACTTTGTATTTATGTAGGTGGTTTTACGTACAGAATTTTCCAGGACCAATCATATTTTTGCTTCTGGAAAATTTGTCTGGGTTCTTTTGACATTTTTTCACCCTCTTACCAGTTACCTGGTGTTTCAGTAATCATACCTAGCTGGATTAATGTCACAGGTGCTGTAGTTCTGACTAAATTGCAATAAATGCATAATCCCAGGTGTTCTTCAGCACATGTTCAGGTGCTGTGTTCACATGCACAGAAAGTCTGATGCTTCTGGAAAACATTTACTCTGCATGAATGACACGGTTGCTGAGTGCTTGAATAGTTGGTCAGTGACTCTCTCAAAGCATCAGACTTTCTGACCATTCACTACACAATATGTATATACATGTTTCTGTCCAGGAAATGAGGAGTAAACATATATAGGGAAAGTAATTTCAGCCAGATTCTCATATTTCACATTTTGCCACTGCTGCAAACAACATTTGCTAATCATAAAGCAACAGGTATGTGCACACGGTTGTGAGCGAAAACCAGTATTCCAAGTTTTCACCTATTTGTAACTGCGCCCAAAATACATTCAGTTTTCTCAAGCAAGGCTATGTGATAAAAAGCCTGGGAAACACTGGTGTATGTCAGCTGCCATGTGAAGTTCTGAGTAGACAAAGAGGGTGATTTTGGAGGAAGTTTAGAAAGGCAGTTTATGAAGTTTTTCTTTTATGTTCAGTTCCACACTCAATATTCTTATGACTGGGAATGGAACAATGATTATGACCTGTGACAGATGAATCAATGCTTGCTTTTTACCAAACACCAGAAAATATTTCCTCTTTCTGAAGTAAAAATTCATGACTCTGCTGGAAAAGAGATTTGTATTTTCAAAGACCCAGTAATGACACGTGGGACACTAGAAAGCAGGAGACATTTTTAGACATT